GTTTTCGCATCTTCATAATGTCCCGTATATGTTGACCTTTAAATTAAAAAAATAATAATTAGCAAAGTTGCGATTCAACGCCGAAACAAATAAAAATTATATCTACCCTAGTATAATACAAACACCGATTGTATTTTCATCAACAAGATCCACAGCTTTTTGAGGGTTGAGGATGTATTCTCCCTCCTTTAAATAAACAAATTTTTCTTCAACCTCAAGATATCTTGTTGCTATTAGATTCACAATAAATATGCGTTAATTCGGTATAAGAAAAGGTTAATTTTTTAAAAGAAATAAGATTTCACCTTTTTCCCAGCAAACTTGAACTATAAAGAAACTTGAAAGTTTACTCGTGTTATCAGATCAATCATTGATAACCAAAAGGAGTAAATTACCTGAGGCAGACATAACCAAATTCGGACGTGCAGTCGACTTTCCCTCGGAAATTCTTCTCTTTTTCCACAACTTCTTCATTGCCAACACGGATAACATTATGGCTTCTGAAGAACCCACGGTCGATACACCCAGGGATTCGGATTCTCGACTTTCTACCGGCGCATTAAATAGACGAGAAATAATGTTGACACAGCGACTCTGGATATTTTGTATCGAAACATAAATTAGACTCTTTTAATTACATGGATATAAAATGAATGAGAATCTGTAATCTAAACTCACCTGTAGGTCAACAGAAGCAGGGTATTCTTCATAATCAATAAAATTTTTCGACGAATTTTCCATAATCAATTTTTCGGCTTCTTTCTCCATAAATGTTGTGACAAATGATGCCAAATTCAGAGCCGGATTCCCATCAACCTATCATCGATAAAGATAAGAAAAACTACCACGAAATTGTGCCATAAGCGATAGTGTATGCCGACATTACCGCAAGTTCACTTTTGATTAATTCATAAGCGACATCTGGAGGCATTTCTCCCTCAGGCAACTCATATCTATATAAAAAAAAAATGGTCAAGCTGATTTATGTATGTGTATGACGTTTTTTCTTTAAATTATCACCTTGGAATAGGCTCAATAGCCCAACGAGTTCCGTAAACAGTGGAAGAGAAAACCTTTGCAGTGAGAAGGTGAAAAACGATGACGATTGTAAATTATTTCTTTTTTATTCTCAATTTACAAAAAAATCTACAAACTCGTTCGCCACTATTATCCCTTTCGTGTTCTATTCGATCGTTAGAAATGGTATGAGTCAAGTAAACCATTTTCACCCATGAAATTACCCGATAATGTTGGTTTGAATTTATATAATTAAAACTACTTACGTACTTATTACGTATTGATCATCTTTTTAATCAACCCAAAGAACTATATAATGACGCACTGAATTACCTTTTATTACGTCGCGTTATCTGTATTACTCTCGTCATCACGTAATGATTGAGTACTGTATTATCGTAAATTAATTACGTAGATCTTTTACTGATCTTCAAAATTCCGTTGTGGCAGTAATATCACTTCGAAACAAAATTAATTTTAAACTTTCAAAGCATTTACAACTGTTTCGCACAAAAGTAGATTACTTTGTGCTAGGAAAGATATTTATTATTTATTTACAGAAACCGTTAGATCACATCTTTCATAAAAGGTAAAAAATAATAGGATAATTGAATAGTTTAAAGGATGGAAATATACAATAATCCCAGAAAACTAACAGGTTGAAAGAAAATCAAAGCAAATAATAGATTTTGAGGTGAATTGCAACAACATTTTATAGAAACTTTTTTTTTTAACCACCAAAACCGTAGATGGTTCGACCTTGGCGTTTGAGCGCATAAACTGAGAACATTTGTCAGTAATTTTATTTTTTCAGATATTTCTATAATAAGTCAATCTCTATAAATTTACTTACCAACATCAAGGGAGGTAACCGTTTTACGCTTAGCGTGTTCAGTATAAGTAACAGCATCCTGAAAGTATAATATAATAAAGTTATCTTTCTATACTGCGCCTCGATTACTAGTATGTCTGAAGCCCTGGTCCCTCAACCCCTGCTTACAAAATCGCGAACCAAAAGACGTGTAAAGTACAAGAAGATAACATACCCGAATAACATTTTCGAGGAAAACTTTTAAGACACCACGAGTCTCTTCATAGATAAGACCTGAGATACGCTTAACACCACCACGGCGTGCAAGGCGACGGATAGCTGGCTTGGTTATACCTTGAATATTATCACGAAGAATCTTTCGGTGACGCTTAGCACCTCCTTTTCCAAGACCTTTACCACCTTTACCACGGCCAGTCATTTTTTGCAGATAGTTTGTTTTATGTAAATGTAGGAAGACGTAAAAGTTAATCCAAAGAGTTCTCGTCAAAAGTATACGTGAGAGAATTAAAGTTTGAGATCTGGAATGATTTGTTTTATATTCTGAAAACAGTGATATAGATGTTGATCTCAATACTGCGGCGACAAATCACGAACTAGCTATTAATAACAATTATTGTTCTCTAATGATAATATTTATAAATAAATTTTTTAAAAAATTCAAAAAAATTTTTTTTATTATTTGTTTTATTTATATCATTGTTTATATGCGTGTATTTTATTTTAGTATTATAGAATTAACAAAATATAAATACTTAAATCTACTTGGTATTTAATTACATATTATTATCATAAAAATTTTATTTCTAATTTATTTATTTAATTATTTTATTATTCAAAAATATGTAATTATATTATATTATACAATATATAAAATATTTTAAATTTAATAAAAGATAGATAGGTTTTTAAAATAACTTTTTTTTTTATTAAGAATGATAATTCATTTAAATATTACATTATACGTATATAATAGGCCTTAACGGATAGGAAATATATTATGTGATTAAATTAATTGTTAATAATACGATATGGTGGTGTAGTGTAGTGGGAATCCAATACATACAGTATATAGTTATAGAAAGGTCGATTATTTATTACCTTTCTACGAAAATTCTTATATGAATTTAAGACGTGATCACAACGTTTTCCACTATAACAAATAAATTAGTCGAAATGATGATAGATAAATGTCTAAAAGAAAAAATGCACTCACTCTAAACAATACATGTCGGAGTGAATCCAAATATAGATATCACTAAGGCCCAGGTGTTTGGTTTTATTTCATAAATATGGATTTTATTTATAGAATAATAACCTAGATCATGTTGCAACGCGTTTTCACGTAGTATACAAGAAACTAAGACCTTGGATAATTATCCATATATAATATAAATGTTGATCATTTTCTCATTCTTCAGCTTCATCTTCTGAAGTGAATACGCCATCATCGTTATCACCAAAGATCCTATCCATCCACTTCCTCAGCACCTCATTTTTTCGAACTTCTTTAAAGATGAACTAGAAATCAAAATCATTTATGGATCAAAGATCATTAATAAATCGGTGATTGACTACAATGGAAAGGATTGTGCATACCTGTGCATAGCTGTCGATATCAAATTTGAATGACCTTTGACCAAAATTTGCTTCAATAATTTCGCCTCTGGACCTCATTCCAATCATTGGATACAAATTTCCTTCAACATTTCTGAACGCGGTACCTACATGAGATTAATCATAATTTGATAACGATGGTTTCTTATTTAATCTTTGCGCTATTTATGATTTAAGAATCTACTTTCCTACCTAAATGAACGCCATTCTTTGTGTAGAAGGAGGTCCCCTCGAAAAAATTTAGGCCAACTCCGATGGTATCACCTGTGGTAAATAGAGGGCCGTAAGGATCACCAGATCCTGATGAATTGAATCTTTTACCATCATCACCGTGATACCCAAAGGATTTATAATCCCATCCTAAATCAAAGAAAAAAGAATATAAATAATCTGACCGATCAATTGACCATCAACGATTGTCGCGATTAGAGAAATCTACCTGGCAGGCCGTTCACGGAAACGTATGACTCCCCAAACCCTATGCCAATATATCTGTCAATCGTAAAATAATACCTAAGTCAGCACAACTTAACGCCATCTTTTTATGTATTGGATTGAAACAAAGAATATGTTAAATAGAGCTTCATACCCATGTTCTCCTTGATCTATTATATCAGCTAAAATCTATTTTTAAATAATGAAATTTTTAATATTAATTTAAATTACTTAATCTATAATCTAAATTTTTTTTTTTAGAATAAAAATATTATATAAAATAATATTACAATTAAACTTTTATCATGAATTTTGAAAAAATATATTAATATAATATAGCATTGTTACTATTATTATTTATGGTTATAATGTTTTTGTTTCTAATATTTTATTTTTATTTTATTTTTATAAAAAATTACTCAGTTATAATAATTTTTTTTTTCTTACTATTTATAACTAATAATTATTGATATTTAATTCTAATTTATATTTTTAAATTTATAATTATTATATTAGAATATATTATCAAAACATCAAACTAAAATATATCAAATTAATCTTAATTTTTTTTTAAAGCTATTAAGGTTTATCAATTTAATTTCAATTTTGTAAAATATTTATTAAAAATTTTTTATATAATTTTTTTTTTTTTATAATTTTATAAAATCATCTTATTAAAATTTTTAATTACATTTTATATAATATTTTTTTTATAATCAAAAAATAATATAATAAACTATATTTTATATAAAAATTTTTTTAATTAAAATTTTTTTTGAAGAATTTAAATATTAAAAAAATAAAAATAAAATTTTTAATTTTTAAATATATTTTTTTTACTAATTAAAATAAAAAAATTTTTTAATATAAAAAATTATTTATTAAAAAATTAATAAAATTAAATAAATTAACAAAGATTATATTTGAATTTTTTTTTTTTCAGAAAAACATTAAATCTTCAAAATTAAATAATTAA